TCCATATTATTCTTATTATTATTATTATTTATTATTATTATTATTTATTATTATTATAATTTAAGATCAGTTAGAACAATATTGAATGCTGATTGGTGCCATTATATTACTGAACATTGTGCACTGACAATTTATGCATTAAATAAGTGTGGTGTGTGCACAACACAGTTGAATTAATTCATGATGACTGTAATTTGTGGGGGGTTGGGTGATATGATTAACTTTCACAATTCTAAAACACAATTCTAAAATATCTGCCATTTATTTTCTAGGTGGATTGTTTGAATATGTCTCTGGAGCAAATTTCTTTGGTGAAATTGTTGAATGGTCCGGATTTGCAGTAGCTGGTTGGTCAACTCCTGGAGCTGCTTTTGCCATATTCACTGTGCTGGTTCTCTTATCCCGTGCACAGCAGCATCATCAGTAAGTATTGAATTTGTAAAACTAGCACTTAAGGGGAACATGTTGAAGTAATAAAAGCCAACCCTTGTTTATAAAGGTGCCACATCTGTACTGTAATTCTTGTGATTACCTTGTAAGGTTTCTTTAACTGATGTTATAATTACAGCTTTGACCTACACATGAATGGCATAGCAAATACAAAGAAACAATACATTGATTCTATTTACTCAATGACACTTGCAAATTATCTACAAGTGTCATTTTACACATTTTTAGTCATTTCTGTTGTGTAATTGAGAATTTTTGAGGTAGGGGGAGATAAACTGGGAATAGGAGGTGTTCTAAATACACACGTTGGCAAGAATATTTGCTTGAAGTGTGTGTAGAAGCATCAGTGATGCTCACCTCCAGTTCCCTGTGACCGTAATAATGTACATGTTTTTATAGTTCCAGGTAGAAGTACAACTTTGCTAATTAGGCACAGCTTAGAAGAAGCTCATGAATTATATTAACTGATTGGAGAACATGGCCTATTTTTTTATCCGTCAACATCCAGAATTAGATTAGTATATGCAGTAATAGTGTGTTGTACGCCTTGTTTATTTGGGCAGCCTTGTGTTCTTGTAGTGCTGCAGTCTTCCTATTCTCACCAAAGTTTCTACATTAACCCCTTTCCAACCGATGGTGGGATTATCCTGTCACGATCGTTCAGTTCGTTAACGAACGGTGACTGGATAATCCCGTCATTCAGTACAATGAGCGCTGGTCCATAAAGGGACCAGCGCTCATTGAATTACTGCTGTTGATGATATCCGAGGCAGGCGCTCAACTGCAGATTAGGTGGTCACAGTCCTGCAATCACAGCAACAGTTGATTGCTGTAGCTCGCGATATACTGAGCTTTGGGTGACGGGAGGACGCTAGTTTGTGTCCTCCCGTGACCCTTAGGAGAACTATGGGGAAAAACACTTACCCCATAGTCCTCCTTTAATAACACAGAACTACTGCTCACTTGATTGTTTTTGCATGCTTTTCTACATTCCAGAGACTTAAGTGTGTAAAGATCATAGAAGGTCTGCAGTCTCTGAGATAACACAAGTAGTGAAGCAATGGGATATTAAATCAAATCCACCCACTTCTGGTTTTTGACTGGCCCATGTCTGGTTTTTATTACAGTTGCCCGCCAACTACTGTTTTTGACTGATGCACCCCGCCAACTTTTATGATAACCCATCCATATACCAGCCTGACAGGAACAGGTAATCTGGGTCATGCATCGCTCCTTTTTTTTTTTTTCAGTAACTGCACCCACTTTTGTCTCACCCCTGTCCAAATGTAGCAATACACTGGGACAGATTTGGGCATATGTAGCGAGGAGCTAGAAGTTGTCCATAAAACATAATTTGGATGCTGGTAACCACCCCACCCACACATCTGACCTCTACAGGCATGTCCAGGTGTGTGTAGTGGCACACTAGAACGTGTCTGGATAAATATCATTTGGATGCCGAGCAACGTCATTTCTAGAGCTAAATGTGGGCATGCCCCAGCTGAGGAATAGTGAGAAAATACTTCAGAGACAATTCTTTACTCCTAAAGCATTGGGTTCTTAACGAAGAATTGAACATTTGTAAAGGGTGTGTGAGGATTCGCTCCAAACAGTAGCACATTAAGGACACCGCCACTCACTTTTCACTTGAAGGGCTTCTTTGCCCACTTTTATTAACTCACAACTCAAGAAAAAAGTCCATACAGGTGTTCCCTCGCAGGGGTTTCCAAACAAAGTATAATTTTCTAAAAAAAACATTTTCCCGTCTCACCAACTTCAGGAAGGTCCTTTTAACAAAAAACGTCTGACCACACAGGCTGTATTCAAAACGCTAGCCACACCGGCTTGTCCTTTGGCCTCTTGCCACACAGGCTGCTGTTTTGCCACACAGGCGGATTGACACACAGGCTGCTCGTTTGCCACCCAGGCTGTCTGCTTTGCCATACAGGTGGATTGCCACACAGGCGGTCTGCTCCCCAGTCCACCAGCCACACAGTCTGGTTCTACGGTGGGGCTGTTCTCTTAGGAGGCTGGGACTTCTTGTAGAGGACCTAACAAGCCAGCTAGCTTCAGCTGGGCTTGTTACCTCCAAGCCTCCAGCCCTCTCAGCATTTACCCAAGAGGAATAACTTAATTAATGCAATCAAACACTGACATTCCCATCTGCCAGCTGCCACAGGTGTTTAACAAGTTAAAAAGGTGACCTGAAAAATTGTATAAACATCCCAATTATATCTATGCTGCCAAGTCCTATCTCCTCCTTACATATGGATATGTCCCATTGCATCGCTACATATGGACAGGGATACGACAAAAGTGGGTGCAGTTACTGAAGAAAAAGGGAGACTCGTGATCCAGATTACTTGTTACGCTGGTATATGGATGGGTTATCAGTTAATGCTGTCTCTTGATTAAGTTTACTTGTTATACCCTTAGGTGCAAACAATGCTCATATTGTCATTTTTTTTCAGATGGTATCTTGAGAAATTTGACAACTATCCCAAATCAAGAAAAATTCTGGTACCATTTGTGTATTAAACTGGAAATGGTATGATAAAACAGGACAGTTTTACCTGGATTTATTATTCGTTATGACCGTTTTGTTTTTGCAAATGTTGAAAGTTTGTCTTCCTCCTTTCTAAACGTTTGCATTTCATAACAGACATTTACTGGGTTATTATGCTTTGTTTTTTTGCAGGTTGTAAGTAATTCTACAGTTTTGTAACAACTTACCTGAAACTGCATTACCTCATTACTTCACTTCATGCGATTTGCAGTTTTATTTCTTGATCTGTTTAAGGTTGTTTACGGGTAAATAAGTTCTGTTAAAAGTCACATTTTAGGATTATAGTGTTTTTGGGGGCGGGGGGTTTGAGCATGTTAATGGCAGGCTATAACCAATGCGCACGTTAATCATCCATAATCCTCAAGGAAGATCATAAAAGACATAACATGTCTAACAATAAAATAATAAACTTTAATGTTGTGGTTTGTTGCCCTTAAAGACAAACTCTGGACAAAATTATAATTTACACACTGCACAGAGTGTGTAAATTATCATTAAAAACTGGGTGCTATGTGCAGAGGGCGGCTGCAAAGTATAAAAATTTTACCTTGCAGCACACCGTCCACAACACAAAATGCCCAGCTTTTTGGCACTGTAGAGTGAGATATGCGACTTGAACTGTACAGCGCTCTGCTTGCATCACCAGAGTGCTGTACAGTTCTGGTGATCAGAACTCTGGCTTCATCATTCTCTTCATTATCCTCCCATTCAAACAATGTCTTCTATTGTTTTAAAGAATACCTTCATCTGCACCATCTTTGTTCAGCCATTATCTAGGATCAGCATCTACTTCCTGGACTGAGATGCTGGCTCAGAGATGGAAATAGGGTACCCCTTCATCAGGCTCTACCCCCTTCATCAGGCTCATTTTGAGGACTTTTGCTGAATAACTATTGGTGTGCTGGTGACATTTTTTGATAAGCCCAGAGATGACACCCTTGTGAACCCTAGTTCCTGTACTGACGTCTGACACAGATCAGCTCTTTTGTGATTAGCTTCTCAGTTTCAGTGTTGCAGCCTGATCACTAGGGGTAAGGAGATTGAGAAAATGCTTTCTCCTGCCTACAGCAGACTGTGAACACAGTGTCGCCTTATTCCCTGAGCTAAATGAACATTTACTAAACATAGTGAAAATTCTCTACATCTCTTTAGAAGAAAACTAAAGCTAAACTTTTTTTTGCTTTAGTCCTGTTTTGGGTCAAAGGAGTACATTTACTAATGTACTCCTTTAACCCACAGTCAGCATATATTGGGCTACTGCCCAATATTTGTTGACAGTGCAGAGGCACACTGCAGCTGGGAAAGATCCCAACAATATTGTGGGCATCCACCCTGCTGCCTGATTGACAGCTGACTCTGTCTCTCTAGAGCCAGAGTCTGCTGGCTGGACACCTGCAGTGTCCATTTACTTTATTACGACCATTCCAGAATACATTTTACTCACCCAATACGTCTTTAAACCAACCCCATGGTTTTCCACAAAGAATGCATGATTGAGGGTTAGTTCGGTGAAGTAGACAACTACAACTATAGGGCTCTGGCAAAGTAAGTGAAGTTAAATGGCATACCCATTTTAAATCTTAAGTAAAATTGCACAGTTATAATAATTGCAAAGAGTTCTTAGTGTTGTACATGTGTGTATGCACACACGGCTTATTGAAAATGGCAGCTGGGGAGACATTTTTCTTGAGTTTGCCATGGCATACAGTGATTTTTGTCAATGAAAAGACGCAGTGTACTTAGGGTTAATTCCTTCTTTCCCATATTCCAAAGAAAAAAGAAGGGGCTATTCCGAGAGCGCAGGTGTTTTCCAACAGGTTGGGTGTCGAAAGTTTCTCATGGTCAGAATGTTCTAATGACTCCCTAAGGGAGCTGGATCCCTGATGGCGATGCCTGAATCATCCCATGTATGGTCACCCTCATTTTTCTTCCATATTCAGTCTTCCCTGTAGGCAAAGCAGGCAGCAGTACAATTCATTCCCTATCTGACAATCACGTTCTATCAGGAAGGCATCTGACAAAAGCTTCAATCGCTTACTAACTAGCATTTTAAAATCCCATATGTAGCCCCAGCCTAAGGCTGTAGTAGCTGTGAGTAGTTCTCTTATTTTTGGGAGCCCCGTCAAGAGGCTTTTGTATTACCATGTCTGCAGGATGACCTAAGGTGTACTGTTCAAAAAGAAAATAAATAAAATTATAGGCATGAGGGTCAAATGTTAAAGGGTCAATTTTAAAAAGCTTAACATATAAATGAATGGCCACAAGAGGGTGCAATCTTCACAGTATACTGTGACTTTGTGAAAAGAGCAGGAAGTGAATACAACAAATGTCAAACAACTTTTATTAAAGTTATGTATTAATAATAAAAACATTTTTTTTTCACTTCAGCCGGTACTTTTATATGAGCAAGATTTGTGGGAGAGCCAGCATGGCCAGCCGATCACAGCGCTATTACTTACTATTCAAGTGATTTACAAGCTGAGAAGAGCATTGAGTTGGTCTCATCAATCTGCTACTGCTTGTCCTTAACTAGATTTGTAGTTTTGTCAAGCCACTTTTGTGATTTGTTCATTCGTGTCAGATACTACAGCTGGAGGGTGACACCATTTTCTCCACTATTAAAGATTACAGTGGTATCACCTGCAGTTTGCTGATTGGACAGTGAAGCACTATCAGCACACTGATATGTTAACTATTCTCCTATCATCATTTTCCCGATCAGCACATATGCAGCAGAGTCTGATTAGCACCCCCTCTTTCTCCCAGTCTAAGTGCAGCTGTACAAACAATAGCAGGAAGCCGATACAACTAGTATAACTACCTGAATCAGTCTTGGTATCTGAGACTGTTCCCATAAATGTATGTAAACTGTGTAATTGCCTGTCTCTAAAGGCTATGATGTGTATTTCCTTCCTCTCCATTTTTCAGCATCACTAGTCACATTCAAAATTTCAAGGAAGCTTTGAATTTGGTGACTGTGAGAACCTTATTGGCACAGGCAAATTGTTATACATTGTTTTTCTGTATGTGAGGGCCAGCAAGGAACCTGCAGTGCATGTTACAACACCACTAGCAGGTATGTCCCAGGATCATCGGATTACTGACAATATGCCTAGATGGAAATCTCAGTTCAAAGGGTCATACAGACTGCTCCTGGTACAGCACATCTCTAGGTTTTATTGTCATTGAAGAGTACCTTTTTAGTACTTCCCTTGCAATTTATATGTTCGAATTGATAGACGGCTAAGTGGCCATAGTTAGAATAGTCATAGGACTTTTGTGCTTGCAGTGCATTGAAGTCTACTTTATATCTATTTATTTTTTTCTATTTTGAAAAACACATGATGGCCCATCTCAAATGTGCTGATGAGACATAAGGAGAACGTTTTGATAAAAAAATACACTGCCTAAAGCTTTTAAAGAACTTAGGGGAAAAACACTGTATTAACCCTGGCAGTGGGGCTATCCCTGCACTGCATGGTTAACTGCTCGTTTGTGTCTAGATGCTAAAGAAAAAAAGTTATCTTCAATTCCCCCGATCATTCGAGCCAGCTTGTTCCTAGAGACCATCCCCCGCCTCTGCAGTGGTCTAAGAATCCATGTGTCATCACAAGTGTATAGATGTGAGGAACATTTCATTTCCGCAGCCAGAGGAGAAGTTGCGCTTTAGTACCCAGAAAAGCAGGGAGTCAGCACCGCAGGTTGGGGAGTATAGTTTTTTTGTTTTTGTTTTTTTAGACAAAGAAACGATCAGTTAACCCTTCCAGTGCAGAGGTAGCCCCACTGCAAGGGTTAATAAAAATTTTGCCCCAAAGTTATTCTTTAAAGATGATGCCATGAATAGTTTTAATCAAGAAAATTCCTAGAAACTGCAGTAAACAGAAAAAAGATGAATGATATCAGTATTGGATGTGTGTGACCACTATTTGCCTTGACACAGTAGCAATTCCCACTTCTTCTTTTCAAAGCCAAAACTTTTTTTCGGGGGGGGGGGGGGGGGGGGGACAGCAACCCCTCCTTTCACTCTCTAGTCATTATACAAGTCTTCCTCAATATCGGAAAGGTGGAAGACTTGCACATCACTTCCTGCAGCAAGTCTGAGATTGTATGATCAAATAATTCCTGTTTGCTTGGCTTTGGGGGAAAAAGCAGAGAAGGAAGAAGAGGGCACATTATGCGCAGAACCCCTCCCTGTTAAGGTTTACCGACCTGCCATTGTAGATATGGAGGTAATCGCCTACCTTTATTGACATTTATGGCTCTGGGGGGTTGACTTTGTGGTGCTTTGGTGCACACATGTTAACTGTACAGCTATGCAGCAATGTGCTCTGTACAAATGGCAGCTTTGCCTTGTCAACAAGTGTACATTGCACACCCAAAAAAATAAAAAGCATAATATAATAAAAGATACATGTTAAACCCAAAAAAAAACAAGAATAAAGGCTATGGGGGAAGATCTACAGCATATTCGTGCAATATGGTACAGTAGAGCACACTGTATTTGCTTGCAAAAAGTTAGCAAGTCTCCCTACACAGCTACAACACACCAAAAATGGCTGCTGGGACCCCTTTTATAATAAAGGGGTTGCAAATAGAAAAGCCCCCATTATTAACCATTCTAACCCTGCTCACCAGACTTCAGAGTCTGGCAATTTATACCAATTTTGACGGTACTGCAAACCTTGAGCCTAAGGAAGCTGCTAATCCAAACCTCCTGTTTAATTGTTGTAGACCTGTTAATCCGGATCATAAGAAAATGTGACTTCTATTCTAATGACGATGCTAGCCAAAGATTAGGGATGACTTCAGGTTCAAACTCCTAGACGACCCAAACTACCAATCATGAACGTGCTGGCCTCTGAACTACGGGTGCTCTGCTGCGGGAAATGGGCTTATTCATGCAAAAGCACTTGTGCAAGGACCCCAAGATTTAGGACATGAGGGAGAGGGACCATTACTGGTTGTTCACCCTTTTTTATATGTGACAAAAGGGGAAAACAGCATAT